GGAAGAAAGCAACAAGCTAAACAGAAATCATTTTTATACATATACATACATTTGAACATATAGCTTTATATGCAACTCGTTGATTTAATGGATGCTTAACCTAGCTTCTTCCAGAGTATCGTTTTGATTTTGAATCATTCTAGACACTAATTATAACCTGGTAACGACTAAGTGAAACTGGCCCTACAAGGTGGTTAAAAATGCCTCAAATGACAATAAATATTAACAAACAGTTTAAGTTTTGGCATGCTTTTGCTGATAATATTTATCTGCTTTTACAGTTGCAAAAATATCTGGGTCAACATGACATCAAAATACATGTAGCTATTTTAAAACTAATGTATTTTCATTCCAGACTTGTTGAACAAAATGAAACATAATGTTTTCACATTTAGGATCCCACTGCTTCACAATGACATAACCACATGGATTAGTATTTCCAGTCTTTATTAGTACATGCAACATAAAACATAAGCATTGCACCTTATCTAGCACAGGTATGGTACACTGAATGGCCCCCTCTTTTTCTGTAAGTGCTCCCATCCTAACATACTTCATGGAGGTTAGGGTTGCAAGAAAAATGCAATTCAAATAACCTAGCTTTTGTCCCATTATTTACAGTATAGAGGAGCCAAATGTGTTCCCCCTGTTTCCCCTTCCCCCATTATAATGAGTGTGATTAAACCAGCTAGTAGTTGAACTAATAAGGCTAATAATCCCAAATTAAAATCAGTTTTACAGATGAACAGTTGAATCCACCATTGAGCATTACGACTGCAGTCCTGACAGAATCGTGGGAACCTCTCCTCCAAAACATATCTTGGCAGGCTCAGTAATAGATTCAATGCTGGACTGAAAAAACATGAAGCTTTTCCATCAATACGTCCAGGGGTTCAGGGAAAGATCTTTTACCTGGTGCTGTTCACCTCCTACAGGAATGTAGGTTGAGGAAAATCTATGGCCTTGAAAAATATACATGATTAATTTAAGGAGCAATTTACTTCCTCAACTATGGAATCTCGTTTATCTGTGCCTTAGTTGCCTGCACTATCAATTAATTTTGCAGACATCGGGATTGATTGGCTAACAAGAACTCTTCACAAAATTGTTCCTGGGGTGTAGGCATTGTTTGCAAGGCTGCATTTACTGCCTCATTCTTAGTTGCTTGAACAAGTGGTGATAAACTACCACAATCTTTGTGGTGATGATGCTTTGTACATCAGCATAAGGCAGGAAAATTCTTCTCACTTTCATAAAACTGAACATATGAGACAGACTACTTTAAACCATGCACTGAAAGGGAATTTGGGATCTTTCATTATGTGGCAATTTCTGGTATTTTTTTTTAAAAGGGTGACTGTATTCTGATTAGAGTTGCCATCTAGAGCAAAGCTGGATGTTTATTCATAGTTAGACAAGATAACTTGAAACGTTTCTGCTCATGGGTTGTATAGTCACATTGCATTTGTAAAGAATCCAAAATGAAAAGTAAGGAAGCACAAAGACGTCCATGAAGTATTTTAAGAGGTACTTGCTGATTTGTAGTTCTTTATTGGAGAAAAGCAAGAGGAGCATTATACTCAGGTGTGGCAGTGGGTAAGTAGTCCTTAGAGGGTCTACATCACCAAGGAGTACGTACCAAGGGATGCAAAGATATGGAAGAGTCATCTCCATGAGGAAGGAGCAGCATTAATTGTACAGAGTAAAAATACCTTAACATGTGTTGCAGTTTTACGGTCGCGTGCGGAATGGAGTTTCGGGGTCTGTTTAATGGGCCCAACCCACCTACCAGGTTCTGCTGTAAGCGGAACCTAAGGCAGAGAAGAGAAAAGCTACATCAGAGGTCTACCTGCGAGTAGGGGCTGAACTACACAGTCTTTTTGCCAAAGGTAGGGATAAGAAATGGAACAGGGATTGACTCAGAAAGGGTTCTGAAAAAGACCATCAACTTTTACAAAATATTGCTACTTGTCACAGCTTGTGTAGATAGGTGACAGGCAATGTAGTTCTCAGGCAATAATGAGAACACCCTCAATCATTTCCAAAGGAGACCAAGCAAACAATAAATTGCATCAGGCAGCAAGCTACTGCCTATTACGATGGCAGCAGGCAAAAACAATTCAGTGGCAAAAATATTTTACCTGAGGACAGAACCAAAATCTATCCTTGTTAGGATATGCACAGGAAATTGGAGAGAAGTGGTATTCGTGCACCATCGTTAGCAGAGGTGTTGTGGCTCAGCATCAAACAGCAGCAGTGTGCATTATGCTCCTACCTTCTTGCCTCAGCTCATCAATAACACACCTGAATTGGATCTACTAGCCTCACCTTTTGAGAATTATTCCATATAGACATATAAAAATATTATTAATACTCTTAGGTCAGTTATATTCAAAAGTTATTCCTCATCACAAAATACCAGGAAAGTAGGTACTGGAAAAGGTCTAACTAAATGGGACAATATAACAAGTGATCGACTAATGGTGTGAGCTAGTTCCCATACAGCTGATTCTCAAGCTCTGAGAAAGGGTGAGCTTTTGGTCATCTGGTTTGCCTTCTGTCTCCGAAGTTCTGAATGACCATCATCTCTGGTAGGAACTTTGAAGCACGATTAGGAATATAAAGAGAAATTAGTAATGTGTTTTGTAAAAAATACATGAAAGGTAAAGGATGAAAAGAAAGTTAGGGCAAATTGAGGATGAAAAGGAAAACTTCTTTCATGGAGATGGCAGGGTCAGAAAAGATGCTATTGATTTTCATAGAAGTGTAAGATGCTGAGAATGAAAGGGTACAACAGGTGGCACTGGTGCAATTATATATGTTAATTTATAAAGAACAGCATTATACTAAAACATCAGTGAACTCATAATGAAGGAGACAGTGGGACTCCAACAGCATTTCAGTATTCTAGGCAAGTCAGGACAGAACTGACAGTTTTCACCACAATCTCTCAAAGCTTTGGATCTGGAAAGGCTGCTTAAGTAATGACCCACTCAGTGATAGCAGGAACTGCAGATTCTGGAGTCAGAGATAACACAGTGTGGAGCAGGAGGAACACAGCAGGCCAGGCAGCATCAGAGGAGCTGGAAAGTAGTCGTTTCGAGTTGGAACCCTTCTTCAGAAAAAGAAGCGTCCCGACCTGAAACATCAGCTTTCCTGCTCCTCTGATGCTGCCTGGTCTGCTGTGTTCCTCCAGCTCCACACTGTGTTATCTCTGTCTAAGTAATACACTGGTTGACAGAGGGATAAATTAGGGAATAACAGTCCACCCAATCTAACATGTGGGTAAGCCTTAGAGGCAATAATATAGCACAATAGGAATTCAGAAGTAAAAACAGTTAAAAGTGTCAGGCAAGGTTGATTAAAAAGTGCACGAAGGATTCTTGATTTTATCATTTGGGGTTTAGAGATAACAGAAAGAAATCTGACAGGAGACTTATAGAAATCATTGGTTAGACTGCAGACAGAATACTCTATTCAGTGTTTGGTATTTACTTTAAGAAGACTATCTCTCTAAGGCCAGTAAGAGGATGTAAAAGAGTTTCAGTGCAAATTAGAAGGGTTTACCAGGGTTTATAAAGTTAAATTATGTGGACAAGTTTATTAATTTGGTTTGCATTTCTTGAGTGTGGAAGATTAAGGGATGATCTAATTGAAATATTTAAAATAATTCAAAACAGTAGTTACATAGAAGCCTTTCGATTGGGAAATCAGAAAGAAGGAAAATACAGATCAGTCATGATCTAACTGAGTGATGGAGTAGTCTTTAGGAGCTGAATGGCCTGTTCTTGTTCCAAGTGTTCTACTGACATTATAAAATTGTGGGAAGTGAGAGAAACTGGGGCACTTTTTATTAGAATATAGGAAGTTCCAAGGTGGATTCAGTGGTTCATGCTGAGATTCATTGGCTGACATTGCAGTTATCTACCTGCTAGTAAGAGAATGACTCTTTTTGATCACATTTATTGTTTAGAATCACGGGGTGGCATGGTGGCTTTAGGGCAGCACATTGGCTAGCCCTGCTGCCTCACAGCACCAGGGACCTGGGTTTGATTCTAGCCTCGGGCATCTGTCTGTGTGGAGTTTGCATGTTCTCCCCGTGTCTGTGTGGGTTTCTGTCAGATGCTTCGGTTTCCTCCCACAGTCCAAACATGTGCAAGTTAGGTGGATTGGCTGTGCTAAATTACCCATAGTGTCCAGGGATGTGTGGGTTAGGTGCATTAGCCATAGGAAATGCAGGGTTACGGCGATGGGTCTGGGTGGGGTGCTCTTCGGAGGGTGAGTGCGGACTTGTTTTTTCCACACTGTAGGGATTCTGAAGTAATCCATGACAACTAGTTGCCACTGATAGGACAATTGGCCTTCAGGTATTTATGGTGCAGGCAATGACGGTAGGATGATGAAACTAGGAAGGAGAAAGTATGAACCATGGTGCAAATAATTTTTTTTAGCAGCACTGACATAAACCTAGGAACAATTCACCTTCCTTTTTGCCATGGTATATGACATGAAGGGAATCCAGAAGTCACAGGAAATAAACCTGCTATCATTTCAGAGGTCTTGATATGCTAAGATATTAAGTCTGTAAACAATGTGCTATTTGTCATGCAGCCAAAGCAAGAATTTACAATTAAGATGGGTCATTTAACAGGTACTTGAGCAACAGCCACAGACAGAGAATGCTTTGAGGAGTGATGCCTTACATTGTGTCACAAAATGGGAAGATGTAAATACATGTCACACAAACAAAGGAAGAAAAATGTACAATCATGTAGGACTCCACCAACTCTAACATGTAAATACAAACTCTAATGGAGCAGGCTCCCATTTCCTCAATTCAAGTAGGGCTTTTCCACCTTGTTTTATTGAAGCAAAATTATCCACTACATCAAAACAGTACATGTGCTTAGGACCTTCAGTGGCAGTTCTGACTAATGCAGTTTGGATGAATCTGCCTCTGACCTTCATAAATGTCAGGGAGGATATAAACGTGTATTCCAGCAAGCACCTCATAGCTGTCCCACAACAAGACCAGAAAGTAAATGTGTAGGATTGTGGCCATGAACCCAGACTGGAGGTCTTATGAGGAAAGGCTGAGGGTTTTGAGGCTGTTTTCGTTAGAGAGAAGAAGGTTAAGAGGTGACTTGATAGAGACATACAAGATGATCAGAGGATTAGATAGGGTGGACAGTGGGAGCCTTTTTCCTCAGATGGTGATGGCTAGCACGAGGGGACATAGCTTTAAATTGAGGGGTGATAGATATGGGACAGATGTCAGAGGTAGGTTCTTTACTCAGAGAGTAGTAAGGGCGTGGAATGCCCTGCCTGCAAAAATAGTAGACTCGCCCACTTTAAGGGCATTTAAATGGTCATTGGATAAACATATGGATGATAATGGAATAGTTTAGGTTAGATGGGCTTCAGATT